AAGGCCTGGCTCAGTTTGCATTGCAGCACATTTTTTATACTGGGCTTCATTTCCTTCCCTTCATTTTCTTCTAACCCCTACATTTGCCCTGGGGCTTAGATTGAAATCTCATTATGTCAGCTGTATCGAAGGCATTGGCCCTCTTTCTGTCTCTCTCTCTCTCTCTCTGGCCTAATTTAGATTTAAGATCATTTCTGAATTGGAGAAAGTGTTGGTCTTAAGGAAGGAGGGTGTAATGTATTCAGCCTGACATGCCCGGACTTGCCCGGGCTGGCCAGGCACAACTCTTCAATAGCTTCATGTCCAAAGACAATGGGTCCGTAGGATCCTAGCCGGCCCAATCAAAGGGCCAGCTTCTCAGCCGGGAGACCAATGGTCGCCCGGTTACTGTAAATAGCCTATCGGGAGTAGGGGGTGTGTTTAGGTGTACTTGGTGGCGGGTTTTCTTATATAACCAGCCTGCGAGCTGGCCCCTTCGTCTTTGTCCTGAACTAAATAAAGGTATGCTTAGCTGAAATCGCTCTCCGTCTGCATACTTTTCACTGGCGACGAAGGTGGGATCGACGACCCCATGAACAAAGACCCGGACGCCAAACCGAGCCCCGCACCGAGCACCGACGCCGAGACCTCCGGGAACCGCGCAGCGTCGCATCCCAGCTCTCCGGCAACCGCTCACCGCGCAGCTCCCGGCTCCGCTTCGTTCCCTGCTGACCCCGAGAGCAGCAGCGCCCCCCACAACGCTCCAGACGCCATCGCCGTTCCAGAGGCCACCCCACCACGTGGCGACAGTACAATGGCGACCGCGACCGCAACAGAAAGCCTGCCCGCTTTCGATCTCTCCCAGCCCTCGCTGTGGGACACCTGGCTGGACACGCTGGAGAGCCGCTTCACCATCCACAAGGTGGTGGATGACGCGATGAAGAAGGCTTACCTGCTGAGCCACTGCGGAATCCAGACCCATCGGCTCCTCAAGGACTTAATCTCGCCCAAACTAACGAAGGACGAGTCATACAGCTCCTTAGTCCAGGCCCTGACCGACCATCTGGCTCCCAAACCCACGAAGTACGTGGAGCGGTTGGACTTCTTCGCAAGAGTTCAGGGCCCCAGCGAAACCACCTCCGATTTTCTGGCGGCGCTGCGGAGCCTGGCGACCCGGTGCTCCTTCCCCAGCCTCGACGATACCCTCCTGAACCAGTTCCTCGTCGGACTCCGGGAGCCGAAGCTGCAGAGGAAACTGGTGAGCCAGAACGATCTGAGCCTGGACAAGGCCATCCGGGAGGCCTCAGCATACGAACAAGCGCGACAAGACCGCCGCGCCAAGGCGGTCCACCGTACCCAAGTGAGCAGCGGCTCCGACGTCTCGGACCAAGAGGAAGTCCTACAACTCCGACAGCGGACTCAGCAGCGACCAAAACACGCATCCCCCAGGACCAACAAGGCCCCGTCTCCAAACCAGTGCGCCAGCTGCGGGGAGGGCCACGAACGCCGGTCGTGCCGTTTCCGGAATGCGGTCTGCCGCTCCTGCAACAAGGCCGGACACATCGCCAAGGTCTGCCGGTCCCAGGGACAACGACCGAGATCGGCCACCCACCAGACCACCGCGGAACCGCCCCTGGAGCTCCACACCGTGTCGTCCCACTTCCCACAGCACCAGGTCTGTAACCTGCCCCCCGACGGCCCAAATAAAATGCATGTGACGGTCCTCATAGAGGGAGCCCCCTGCACCATGGAGATCGACACCGGGTCGACCTACTCCATAATATCCGCGGACACGCTCCGTGCACTGTGTCCTCGGGGGGGGCCACCACTACAGAAGTCACGGGGTTTCCGGTTACGGGACTTTAACAAAAACCCCGTGGCGGTGGTGGGCTGGGGCAAGTTCCGGGTCCAGTTTCAGGGCTTCAAGGGCCAACTGGACCTACTGGTTGTGGACCGCCCCCTCTCCAGCTTGTTGGGACTGGCCTGGTTCAAGGCCCTGGGGCTCTCCGTTACGGGCATCAACCAGGTTGGAGCACAGGATTTCGGGGCGGTGTGTGCAGAATTCCCCCGCGTCTTCGATGGGACCCTGGGGCGGTACACGGGCCCTGCCATTTCCCTGGACCTAGACCCCGCGATACGCCCCATCCGCATCAGGGCCCGGCTGCCCCCGATCTCCATGAGGCCGAAGGTGGAGGCCGAGCTCGATCGCCTAGTTGAGCAAGGCGTGCTAGAACCGGTGGCGTCGGCCCGGTGGGAGACCCCCATTGTCACACCACTCAAGCCGAACGGGGACGTCCGCATCTGCGCGGACTATAAATGCACCATAAACAAAGCCCTGCAGCCCCACGCGTACCCGGTGCCGGTAGTAAGCCAAGTGCTGGCGGCCCTGGCCGGGGCCCGGGTGTTCGGCAAACTGGACTTGGCCCAGGCGTACCAGCAGCTACCGGTGGACGCCGCCACGGCCGAGGCCCAGACCATTGCGACCCACAAGGGGGCCTTCAAAGTGCACCGCCTCCAGTTCGGGGTCTCAGTCGCGCCGGGGATCTTTCAATCTTTTATGGATTCCCTTCTTAAAGGCATCCCCGGAGTTCAGCCGTTTCTAGACGACGTGCTGATCGCCGCGCCAGACCCCTCGTCCTTCGCAGACCGTCTGAGGGCCGTTTTACAACGCTTCGACGCGGCGGGCCTCAAGGTGAAACGGGAGAAGTGCCTACTGGGGGTGCCGCGGGTGGAGTTTCTGGGCTTCGCGGTGGACGCCGCCGGCCTGCACCCCTCCCAGGACAAGGTAGAGGCCATCACGCACGCCCCGGCCCCGAAGTCCAAGACGGAGCTACAGGCGTTCCTGGGCCTAGTGAACTTCTACCACTCCTTCTTGCCCCTGAAGGCGGCCGTCGCAGAGCCGCTCCACCGCCTCCTCGACAAGTCAGCACCATGGGTCTGGGGGCCTCCGCACGCCGCGGCTTTCCAAACAATAAAGGACCTCCTGGTCTCTAATGCGGTCCTCGCCCATTTTGACGAGGCCCTTCCCGTGGTGCTGGCGTGCGACGCTTCTCCCTACGGGGTCGGGGCGGTCCTGGGGCACAGACTACCGGATGGTCGCGAGGTCCCGGTGGCCTACTACTCGCGGACACTGTCGTCGGCCGAGCGCAACTACGCGCAGATCGACAAGGAGGCGTTGGCAATCGTGGCAGGGGTGAAAAAATTTCACCACTACTTGTACGGCCGTCCGTTCACGATCCTGACGGACCACAAGCCCCTGCTGGGCCTCCTCGCACCCGACCGGCAGACACCGCAGATCACATCGCCCAGGGTGCTACGCTGGTCCATCTTCCTGGCGGGGTATGCGTACGACCTCGTCCACCGGCCCGGAAAGGCGATGGGCCACGCTGACGCACTGAGCCGCCTGCCCCTCCCCAAGTGCGACCCGGACCCGGCCCCCGCGCTCCTAGTCGCGAGCCTGGAAGCCCTCACGGACCAGCCGGTCCATGTTTCGGAGGTGGCACGCTGTACCTCCAAGGACAAGACATTGGGGAGGGTCTTGGACTGGGTGGTGAGGGGGTGGCCCGAGGCCAAAGGAGACCAGGACATCGCCCCGTTCGCCACCCGGAAAAACGAACTCTCAACCCACAAGGGGTGCTTGCTGTGGGGAAGCCGGGTGGTCATCCCCTCGCCTTTAAGGGAACGGGTACTCACCGCCCTGCACGAGACACACCCCGGGGTGGTGCGGATGAAAGCCCTGGCCAGGAGCTACGTGTGGTGGCCGGGACTGGACGCCGACATTGAAGGAGTAGTCAAGAGGTGCCAGCCATGCCAAGCCTCGCGGCCGGAACCACCCCGAGCGCCCGAGAGGGCCTGGGAATCCTCCCACCGTCCCTGGTCCCGCCTCCATCTGGACTTTGCGGGGCCCTTCCAGGGCAAGCTGTTCTTCATCCTGGTGGACGCATACAGCAAGTGGCTGGAAGTGGTCCCCGTGCCCTCCACATCCTCGCAGGCCGCAATCCGGGCCATGTGGAGGATCTTCAGCGGCCAAGGGATCCCCGACACGCTGGTCACGGACAATGGAACCGCGTTCACCTCGGCCGAGTTCCAGGCTTTCACCAGGTACTACGGGATCCGCCACGTCCGATCCGCCCCGTTCCACCCTGCCACGAATGGCCAGGCGGAGCGCATGGTGCGCACCACAAAGGACGCACTTCGCCGACTGGACTCCACCGATTGGGACTATAAACTAGCAGCCTTTCTCTTCGGACAGCGTACCACGCCACACACCACGACCGGCCGCTCCCCGGCCGAACTACTGCTGGGCCGCCGCCTGGCCTCCCGACTGGATCGGTTACACCCAGATCGGGCAACCCCGGAGGCCCCGGGCACCGAGACGTACGAGCCGGCCAGAGGGTTCTTTCCAGAGGACCCGGTGTACGCCCGAAACTACGGCCGGGGGCCTCAATGGATCCCAGCCCGAGTCATACGGGTCAAGGGCCCCCGTTCATACGAGGTCTCCAGCGAGGACGGCCAGATCCTCCACCGGCACATAGATCAGCTGCGCCGTCGCACGCTACAGCTGGACCCTGAGGATCCGGACGAGGACCCAGAGCCTGCCACATCGGCCCCACTACCGGAACCGGATCCACAGCCGCCTCTCCGTGAGGAAACCGAGGCGCCTCCCACCGTGGTGCCAGACTGTCCTGCCTCCTCGGCGCCCTCGTCGGCCCCAGGCCCCTCGGCTCCCAGGGCCCCCGAGACCGAACCCATCGCTACCCCGGAGCCCCGACGCTCGACGCGCCCCAAGAAGCCACCCGCCTACTTGAAGGACTTCGTCTGTGGGTGCCTTCTGAACCAAGGGGGGAGGGGTGTAATGTATTCAGCCTGACATGCCCGGACTTGCCCGGGCTGGCCAGGCACAACTCTTCAATAGCTTCATGTCCAAAGACAATGGGTCCGTAGGATCCTAGCCGGCCCAATCAAAGGGCCAGCTTCTCAGCCGGGAGACCAATGGTCGCCCGGGTACTGTAAATAGCCTATCGGGAGTAGGGGGTGTGTTTAGGTGTACTTGGTGGCGGGTTTTCTGAACCTATATAACCAGCCTGCGAGCTGGCCCCTTCGTCTTTGTCCTGAACTAAATAAAGGTATGCTTAGCTGAAATCGCTCTCCGTCTGCATACTTTTCAGAGGGAGAGCCCAGACTCATTCAAGCTTTGTTTATATATTCAACTCCCCACTGACCAGCCTTACAGCCTTACAGCCAGACACCTGCACAGGACAGCACACAAAAATTTAAACAGGGAAATGGCTGTCCAAGTTCCAAGAAACTTCTCAAATATCCACAGCAGGCATTAACTATGGTCTTGGCATCTAATTTGTATAGGTAGATCAACCAAGCCAGCTGAAGAGCCAAACTGGGAGGTGCCCAAGTAACCTGGACGATAAAGATGCCAGCCTCCAGGTGGGTCCTGGAGAACCCCTGGAATTACAGCTAATCTCTAGACTACAGAGATCAGTTCCCCTTGAGAAAATGGATGCTTTGGAGGGTGGATTCTATGGCATTGTACCCCACTGAGGTCCCTGTCAGTGAATCATAGAGTTGGAAGGGACCTCCAGGGTCATCTAATCCAACCCACTGCACAAGGCAGGAAATTTACAAATACCTCCTCCTCCACACCCCCAGTGACCGCTGTTCCATGCCCAGAAGATGACAAAAAATCCTCCAGGATCTCCAGCCAAAATGGCCTGGAGAAAAATTGATTCCTGACCCCAAAGTGGCAATCAGCATTTCCCTGGGCATGTAAGAAAGGGCCACAAGAACTAAGCACTGAGGCAACCCTTCCTACCCTCCCTCTCATGATCTGCCTAAGTTCACAAAGTCAGCATTGCTGTCAGATGGCCATCTAGCCTCTGTTTGAAAACCTCCAAAGAAGGAGAGCCCACCACCTTCTGAGGAAGCCTGTTCCACTGAGGAACTGCTCTAACTGTCAGGAAGTTCTTCCTAATGTCTAGCCAAAAACTCTTCTGATTTAATTTCAACCCATTGGTGCTGGTCTGACCTTCTGGGGCAACAGAAAACAACTCCACACCATCCTCTAGATGACAGCCCTTCAAGTACTTGAAGATGGTTATCATATCACCTCTCAGTCATCTCCTCTCCAGGCTAAACATACCCAGCTCCTTCAACCTTTCCTCATAGGACTTGATCTCCAGACCCCTCACCATCTTCATTGCCCTCCTCTGGACATGACCCAGCTTGTTTATATCCTTCTTAAATTGTGGTCCCCAAAACAGAACACAATACTATAGTTGAGGTCTAACCAGAGCAGAGTAAAGCAATACTATCACTTCATGTGATCTGGACACTATACTTCTGTTGATATAGCCCAAAATCATATTTGCCTTTTTAGCGACCACATCACATTGCCGACTCATGTTCAGTATTTGGTCTACGAAGACCCCTAGATCCTTTTCGCACATACTAATGCCAAGACAAGTCTCCACCATCCTATAACTATGCATTTGATTTTTCCTACCTAAATGCAGAACTTTACATTTATCTCCATTGAAATTCGTTTCATTTGTTTTAGCCCAGTTTTCCAGCCTATCAAGATCATCCTGTATCCTGACTCTGTCTTCTACTGTATTTGCTACCCCTCCCAGTTTAATATATCTGCAAATTTCATAAGCATTCCCTCTATTCCTTTATTCAAAGATGTTGAACAAATCAGGTCCCAGGACAGATCCTTGAGGCACTCCTCTTGTCACTCCTCCCCAAGAGGATGAGGAACCATTCACAAGCACTCTTTGGGTGCAATCTGTCAACCAATTACAGATCCACCTAACAGCCATAGGATCCAAACCACATTTTACCATTCTGTCCCCCCCAGATTCCATCCCCCAAATCTCCAAGAATTTCCCCCCCCATCCTCCACCTGACTAGAAATAGTTGTCATCACATGCAAGTAAAAAAAATATATCTGGGGGAAAAAACCCTGGAAATGTGATTGCAATATACACCATAAGTGAAATTTCCCCACTGAAATCTCTGTTGTGGCATGTAGCCACAGACACATATCTTGTTCATCTCTCACATTACCAGGAGATTTCCAAAAATGTAAAGACCCCTTCACACATTATGCCACAAGAAGTACTGGTTTGCCACTAGTGCATGCTTCAAAGGGACCTGAAGGTCTTTCCCAGCATCTGCTGCCTGAGAAATTTTTACTGGAGATCCCAGAGACTGAACCTAAGACCTTCTGCATACAAAGCCAGTGATCTACCATTCAGCCTCAGCCCCTTCCCTTGGCAGGCAATGCGTCCTCTAGTTAAGGAACTGCAGCCACTCATTTCCTGACTCCCTTCATATACAATTCTCTAGATACATGTCCCATCCAAACTTTAAATGTTTAAACTATGTCAATTTATTAGCAGCTATGTCTATATAGCTCATACACTTTTAGACAGAACAAAATTCATTAAGCAGCCTTGGCAATGTGGGAACAAGAGTGCCCAATAATTTCAATATAGTAGAAAGTGGTACCCGGACAAAAGACCTAACAACCTTCAATGAATGAATAAATGAATGAATGAATTAGTGGTTTTTGTATTGGTGCTGCAACCTGGGGCAGGGATATTGGTCACTGCATGGATACATTTTTACAGGGGTATTCTTATGGTACAGAACAGCACTAGGCTGATTTATCCATTACAAAGTACCCAGTTTGGGTCTGAAGTTGCCACCTTGTTAACCATCAGTGTTCTTCTTCTCAGTTGTGAGTTCTGCTCATGTCTGGCATGCATGGTTAGGATTGCAGTGTGTTTAGAGGACTCAGCCCCCCCCCCCGTGATGTTTTCCTGTCCTGAAATGGCCAGGGGGTTTGCTATTTGACCTGCTGGGGACCTGCAACTCATGTCTGACTGTTACACAGGATGGGGACCCCAGACCCAACCTGTGTACTCTGTAATATGTGAATTGGTTGTCAAGTGGCATAGTAAATATTTTCAACCTTTGCTATGTGTGTGTGTGGGGGGGGGGAAACCACTGTTGCTTTATACTTTTAACAAATGCACTCAAGGAGAAACTGTTTACTGAACCTTGATCTACATTGTCACTCCCGAGTTACCCTTTTACAGAAATAGAGCACTGCAGAAATATGCAAATGAGGAATGGTTCATTTAAATTTAATGCTAATGAGGAGATTTCCTTCTCTTTCCAGCAGAGAGCAGCTGTTCTCATTTCAAGCTGGCAAAGTGTCTCTAAATCACCTCTACAGCACTGAGGTGGACAGTGATGTCATTGTTTATAGGTTATCCATTATTATTTTATAGACATATCTGACATTTGCCTTTAAGGAGACATCCAGATGGCTCCTGACCTTCTGCCACTGAACCTATCCTGGCAATTCTGTCTTGTTATTAGCCACCTTCCAAGCATCAGAAGGTCCGCTCCTTACAAAACATAATTTTAAAAGCACCTTGGGTTTTCCTCAGGCTTGCTGCTACTTTATAATCTATGAGAATAAGGACATTACTTTTTCTGTTCAGCCCTAGTGGTCACACATAATGCATGCCTAAGAGAAATCAGTATGAGTATCTCTTGGGAATGGCAGGAAAGGAAGAAAAGTGAGGGTGAGAGCCGGAAATGAATATGTTTGCGCCAGATATAGGAAAAGGAGATGGAAAGTAGCATGTGGTTGCATTTGGGGAAAAGACAAGGGGGAAACAAAAGGTAAAGCTTACAGCTGCTGCACAGTGACCAGAAAGGTGTGTAGATGCAAAGGATTCTTGAGGCCTTTAACAAATGTGCCAATATGGGATTTCCAGCATGCCAGTGGCAGTTTGTCATGGGTACAGTTTAAAGAAGGCCTTTGAAGGGAGCCCTCAAAGCCAGCATCGTCCTGCTGCCTCCAGCCGAACATCTTCCCTTTTATTTTTAAGATGCAATTCTGGCTGCAGCCACTAGGGGCACAGGAAAATTTGAGCATAGCAGAAAGCTCTAGGATCGACTAAGCTTCCCTTTTCTCCATGACTCTAGCAAACTTCCTTAACAGATCATGCTGATAGCTGATACAGCAATTACCATAGAGAGAACAAAATGTGAGTCCAGAGGCACCTTTAAGACTAACAAAGTTTTATTCAAGGTATATGCTTTCATGCGCACGCACACTTCTTCAGAAGAGGGGAGGGGGGATTCTTCTGACAAGCACAATCTACT